TCTGTGTGTGTCAGTGCAGGGTGTAGTGTTGACAGGGTTTTGTCAATGCAATGTGTAGTGTCAATAGGATTGCGTGTCTGTGTGTGTCAGTGCAGTGTGCTGTGGTAATGATTGTGTCTTTGTGTGTCAGTGCAGTGTGTAGTGTCAATAGGGTTGTGTGTTAGTGCAGTGTTAAGGTTGTGTGTCAGTGCAGTGTATAGTGTTGACAGCGTTTTGTCAATGTAATGTGTAGTGTCAATAGGGTTTCGTGTCTGTGTCAGTGCAGTGTGCTGTGTTATCAATTGTGTGTCTTTGTGTGTCAGTGCAGGTGTATAGTGTCAATAGGGTTGTGTGTTAGTGCACTGTGTTGTGTTCACAGGGCTGTGTGTCAGTGCAGTGTTTTGTTAATAGGGTTGTGTGTCAGTGCAGTGTGTAGTGTTAATAGGGTTGTGTGTCAGTGCAGTGTGTAGTGTTAACAGGGTAGGGTGTAGTGTTAACAGAGTTGTTTGTGTGTGTCAGTGCAGTGTTAACAGGGTTGTGTGTCTGTGCATGTCAGTGTAGTGTGTAGTGTTAATAGGATTGTGTGTCAGTGCAGTGTGTAGAGTTGCGGGCTGTGCAGCAGTGTGTGTCAGCTGGGGCCTGTGTGTTCAGGATGTGTACAGAGCGACTGTTCAGTCACTTGTGTAAACAGAACTTCCTGGGTGACACGTCAGCGTGGCCGAGGTCTCCTCTGGGGAAGCGGTCACAGGTGGGCCGCGCACCTGCGAGTCCGCTCCGCTCGGGACGGCCCCAGCGGGCTCCTGGCCGCTCCTCGGCTGCCCGGCGCAGAACTAGAGAACGTGGACGGCGGTGGGCGAAGTCCACAGCGCCATGGCCTCCCGCCCGCTGGCTGAGCCGGCAGTGGGCGTGTCTCCGCTCTGCCTGTCGCACAGGTACACCGACTCAGGCTGGGCTGAAGTCTCCACTCCCTCCGGGGAGCAGAGAGCTGCTGGGTTAGCCGAGCTGTCACCTCACACACACAACACACAACATTCGATCGAGCAGCTCTGGGGGTCACCAGGTTTCTGAGCGTTTCCCCAGCTCCGAACCACAGTGGGGACTCTCCCTGACTGTGTGGGCCTGGACAATTCCCTGCCTTTTGTAAAGGAATGGAGCCGTCTGTGCTGGACTGGTTCTCGACTCCTGTGTGGTGGGCAGTGGTGCCTCTCTGTGACTTGACTCGTGAGCCAGGACTGGACTGGCCACTGCCCCACGCAGAGACCGGCCTCCTGAACTAACGTGAAGGAAATGTAAAACAGCAGACAAAAACAACACAGCTCAGAGCTCCTGCATGTTCAGGTGTGTTTGGACAGTCGGGCTCTTTGTGTAGCTGCTGTGTGTTTACCAGTGAGGAGGTGGTGTTGGTGTTTCAGCCTCTTCTTCAGAGTGACTGAAGACACGCTGAGAAAGGTCCCGCAACAGCCCCTCCCCCGCAACACACACACACACACACACACAACACACACACAAAAGCAGGATGTGTCACATTTCACGTGTGCCTGTGTGCCTGTTCAGGGGGTGTGTGAGTTGTGTCCCAGCCCAGGTTTAAAGGAAGTGTTGTTGAACTTCCTGATAGGACAGAGTCTGATTGGCCAGCTGGCGATGACTTGTCAGCACAGGACAGGCCTCCTGCCTGGCTGGGTTATCTGTGCCAGCGGCAGATAAGACTGGCACCTATGTCCATCCCTCTCTGCCTCCCACCTCTGTCTCTAGGAATTTCTGTCCTCCACCCTGTCCTCACTGGGGGTTGTTGCTGAAACCCAGCGAGTGGTTTGTCGCACTTTTCGTGTTTCAAGACCCAGGCAGGTTGGCAGGCGTGTCTCTGGAGAGAGGATCCATCGGCCCGGCTGCCCCCTGTCCTTCTTCTCCGGGAGCTTGGCGCCACGCCCCTCACGCCAGAGGAGCGGACATCCGCGCGCTATCCTCGCTCGGCTCCTTATCGACTGCCCACGACGATGTCACGGCGCTGGGAGAGGGAAGTGGGCAGGAATGGGGTTGCTATAGGAACACGGCCTCCTCCTCCCATCCCCAGCGCAGGCTGTCCTGGGAGCGGAGTGAGCAGTCAGGGGCGCAGGAGCTCAACTGCAGAGGCACTGAAGTAACCTGTGCTGACGGCGATTACTGGCGATTTGTGTTCGTTATTTAGCATTACAGTGGAATTTAAAATAGGCTCCGATAACACCCTCGCACACAAGACACACACCCGATTCCAGGCGAAGATTAGCTTCACACAAAAACAGCTTCAATGCAAATCATCTCCACTTTGCATGATGAGAATCACTCACAGGAATTGATAGCACAGGGAAACGATCTCCTCGGATTTGCCTAAAGGTTTATCATCAGTTAGTGGAAGGGAGAGGCCAAAACCGCTTAAAAAAAAAAAACTACTTGATCCTCCAAAAGTGTGAACAAGCCCGGAAGGGGCTTCCTTCTGGTTTGCTGTTGGATGAGATCAGGCAGGAGGTACAGCTGCTGCAGAGCCCCTCCCTCTCGCCTGCTTTCTCCCTGATCTCTCCCCTCCTCAGAGACAGTGGCAGCAGGAAGCCGGAATCGGGGCCTGCTCTACTGCAGTGTGGTTCTGGACGGACTCAGCCCGGCCCCATACCCACTCCTGCCCGCCTGGGCCCGCCTGGCCCCCCCACCCCCCCGCGTGCTGGAAGGCGAGAGAGGTGTGCGGGCCGGCGGGTCGTCTGTGGCTGATTGATCTCGGGGTTTGTGAGAGAGTCGGAGCTTCAGGTTCAACACGCCTGGCAGGCCAGCCCACACCCCCACTGGCCTTCGCCTGCAGAAGTGGAAACTCCCTGCAGGAAGTGCGTTTCCTGTGCTCTCTGCTCCGAGGATAGTGCTGCTGAAATCCTGGAGCGCAGGACTCTTCCCTGGGCCGACGGCTGGTGTTGTATTGCGGCCCTGTGCAGGCAGCGACGGCTGAGCTCATTTTCTAACCTGTTTGGAATCACTGTTCTCCACTGCATAACAGAAACGTTGTGTTGCATCAGCATTGTTTCACACACAGAGGGGTTGATGGCAAGTGCTGTAAAGAGCAACAGGCCTCTTAAAATACTTCAGAGGCTTTTTTTTCATGACGCGACAGCTGTGATGTGTCTCTTCAACAATCCAAGCGAACGCGGCGCGCAGTCCGAGCGTGATGCCCCGCACGTCGGCTTTCTCAGGGCCTTGGGTCAGACACCTGCTGCCATCTTGTGGCTATTTAGGGAAACGCAGCGTCTTCAAAACAGAACAGCAACATCCTGATATCCAATAGCTTTATCACTCTACAACTCACAACCAGCAGCACACTGCGTGAGCCTGGTCAGTACCTGGATGGGAGACCCCAGGGACAACTAAGGCTGCAGCTGGAAGAGGTGTTAGTGGGGCCAGCAGTTTGCGTGGGTCCTAATGCCCCAGTATAGTGATTGGGAAACTAAACTGTAAAAAGGCACCGTCCTTTGGATGAGACGTAAAACCTAGGTCCTGACTATCTGTGGTCGTTAACAATCCCAGAGCATTTCTCTAAAACAGTAGGGGTGTAACCCTGGTGTCCTGGCCATATTTCCCCCTGGCCTTTACCAGTCATGCCCTCCTAATAACCCCCTCTCTGAACTGGCTCCATCACTCTGCTCTCCTCCCCGCTGAGAGCTGGTGTGTGGGGAGCGGACTGGCGCATCATCCAGGCGGGGCTGCACACTGGTGGTGTTTGAGGGGATCCCCATTACCTGTACAGCGCTTTGAGTGGAGTGTCCTGATAAAAAGTGCTATATAAGTGTAAGGAATATTATTATGATGATTATCCTTGTGGGAAAAGGATATCAATTTGTGGAAAAACTAATTTCCGCAGATTGGACAATAAATCTTGAATTGAACATTTTCACTTATCAAAGCACGCCCCCTGACTTACCAGCCACACCCCGACACACGGCTCCCCAGACCACCTAGCCCCCATGATGCACGATTCCCCATGCCACGCCCCTGCCTCACCAGTCACACTCCCCGAAGCACAGCTCTCTGACCACGCCCCCCCGAAACCAGCCTCACTCTGCCACAGGATCACACTCCTCTGTAAAGGAAGTTCTGATCCTGGACTCCCGCCGTCCCCTGACATATTCACTCCATACACACTCTTACCAGCTGAAACGGAACATGTTATCCTCACAGAAACACTCACCCTTCACCACTCAAAGACCGCACAGGACCCCCCTCCTCGCCACGTGCAGGACTCCCCCAGCCCTGAAGGAGCAGCACAGAGCCCTCGGTAGTGTCTCCAGTCTGAGCTCTTTATTGTTGACAGGTGGTCAAGTTCAGTCAACATTCAGAACTTTTGTCATAATCTCCTGGCATCACAGAGAAACAGCACACAAAAACAAAAATAACAAACCATTAAAAAAAAACTAAAATTATAAATCATTGTGTGGAAAACAAATGAGTATGTAAGAGGCAAAGAAAGTTACACAGCAAAGAGCCTGCACTTGATTGGTCCCTGTGCTCTCCTGTCCCCTGGCCCCAGGCAATCACTGGCCTTCTTGCCAAGGCTGGGGACAGGGGCCTCTTCTGCCAGAGCTCGGCTCGGACGGTCTCGCAGGAATACTGTGAGGACGCAGCCCCTCAGGAAATTTAACACTGTTTCTCCCGACACACCGGGCAGCCCGGGAGCTCCTGCCCTGGCGCACGCACACACCCTTCGTCACTCCGCTCCAGCGGGGGGGCACGGCCGCCTTCCCTCTGTCCCCCTGCCCGCCCACGGCCCCACCCGCGCACGCGGTCAGGACCGACACCGCAGTCTTCCTGCAGACACGGGCAGCAGCCGGCTCACTGTGAGGAGCCTCAAAGCCCAGGGCCCTGAACCGGGCTGATGTCTGACCCCTGCAGCTGGGAATAAGGCACAGGGACGGAGGAGAGCCTGCAAGAGAATCAGGACCTGCTCCCTCCCTGCAGGGGGCGCTTTGGCACGGTGCGGTCTCCTGCCCCGCTGCTGTTCCTCCAGGCAGACGTCTGTCACTCATCCGCACCAGGAGGGGCAGTAAACGCATCCAACTCCCCCACCAGCAGCTGGTTTGAGAAACAAGCTCCCCACGACCAGAGTGGACAGGGGTCTTCATATATTTAAGGAAAAACAGGGAATGTAACTGGAAAACAGAAGTCTAACGCCAGTGGGTGTTTCCAATCCGGCCCAGCGCAGTCTACCGGCACAGCGGGCTCGGCCACACCTGAGGTTAATTCGGGATGGAAACCAACAAGCAGACCGCGCCATGGACTGCCTCCCCTGCACTGCCAGGCAGCAGCACCACAGTGGGAGCAGAAGGCACTGACAACGCCACAAGCTGCAGGAACACCCACGGCCACCAGGTGGAGCCAGACGGCACACTACAGAGCCCGCAGGACACCTGCGGTCCCCCCCCGGAGACGGAGAGAGGTGCACAGCATGGGCAAGGCAAACCCCAGCGCAGGCAGGGGCCGCGTTCTCACCCGGGCTCTGCTGACTGCGCCCTGTTCTCCAGCAGCACCATCGTGCTCTCCGCTGCTCTTTTTTAAGGCAATCGGGGCCACACAAAATCAGGGCGAGGAGATGGAATCCAGCAGCCAGCCGAGTAAGTCCAGCGTGGACACGTACAGCTCCTCCGGGAATGCCCGCCGCCGAGGGCCGAGCCCGGAGCTCCCGCACGAGGGAGAGAGGGAGAGAGCACCGCTGTGAGACCCAGCTCGCACGAGGAAGGAAAGTGTGCGAGACTGCCACCCCCCCACTCACCCCCGGACGCCCCGACACCGCCCGAGCAGCTGTGTAAGGATCTTTAGCCCCCAGGTTTCTACAGCTTAAACATTTTCAGTTGTTTACTGTTACTTCTAGCCACGTTCCTACGGTTCAGTATAAGGCCATCAGGTCTTCGAACACAAACCCCCCCTACAGCGAGGAGCACAGGAGGCAGGAGAGGGGAGGGGGTAGTTTCTGTTGCTCAGGGCAGATCTCCCCCACTGAACACTTCACAGGGCAGATCTACACTAAACACTTCACAGGGCAGATCTCCCCCACTGAACACTTCACAGGGCAGATCTACACTTTACACTTCACAGGGCAGATCTACACTTTACACTTCACAGGGCAGATCCCCCCCACTGAACACTTCACAGGGCAGATATCCCCCACTGAAAACAAGGCAGATCTCCCCCACTGAACACAAGGCAGATCCCCACCACTGAACACAAGGCAGATCCCCACCACTGAACACTTCACAGGGCAGATCTCCCCCACTGAACACTTCACAGGGCAGATCTCCCCCACTGAACACAAGGCAGATCCC